GATTTAATTATTGTTATTATATCATGAAATAAATAATATTAATATTAAATATTTTTTATTATTTCATTAAATTATGTGCAATGCATTACATATGAAATCTATCTAACAAGAACTATATTTTTTATAGTTTTTTAAGCATATAACAACAAAAATTAAATTTTTTGTTACGTCATCAAAAGATTTCCTTTTAATTTTTTGAATAAAACACAATTAAAATAAAAATAAAAACTGATTTTTTTTTTAACTGGGTCGGACTCGGAAAAACTGAATTTTTTTTAACTGGGTCGGACCTGGAAAGAAGATAATTGGAATTGTGATTAAATTTCACAAATGCTACGTTATCATGCGATATTCTTTTAATTTATATAGTATTATTAAATACTAGTTTTTCAAGTAAAACATAATTTTTTTTTGAAAAAATTACAATTTAATTCACCTTAAACTAATTTAAAAAAACAAAAAAAATATTGTTCATGTTCATATGAACAATGTGAATAAAATTAATTAACTGTACTGGTTTTTTAGGAAAAAAAAAAAACTAAACTTTTTGCATTGATTTTTCAAAAAAAAAAAAAAGTGAACAAACTAAACTGTTCACTTTAATGAACAGTCACTCGCACTGTTCACTAAAGTGAATAGTGCGATAGTGGAGCCATGCTCCATTGATGTGGTTCCTCCCACACGGGAAGCAGCAAAATGCTGTTTCTTAAAACCTACGGTATAATTTTTAATTTTAGTGGGTCCTACCAGCAGGATGTTTTTTTTTTTTTTAACCAAACGCTGTTATTTGTGGCTGCGGGTAAACCTCAACCGCGGCCACATTACCAAACAGGCACTAAACTAATATTGTCGATGGACTCACGTCCCAAGTGGCACCGTTGTTTTCAAAATGATTTAGACATGGTTTTAGTGGTGGTGAATGTGCCCCTTTGTTCTTGGTAGGGAGGTGATCTGAATATCATGGAATTTTTTTTCCTATATAATGTTCGTTTTTTTTAAGGCGAAATTTAAATCTAGTTGTTAAGAGGTTCTTATTTTTTAAATTGTTTACTGTGAGTTTTGCAGACGTTGTTGTAGCACCTCCCTTTATTTACATCGATCAGGTCAAGTCTTCCTTAACAGACAGGATTGAGATATCAGCTCAGAACTCTTGGGTCAGTAAGGGTGGGGCTTTCACAGGAGAAATCAGGTCAGCTAGCTGCTCCTTTTTCAGTTATAGCTTTGTTTGGATGGGATGGCAACTGCTACTCCCTTCCTGTAAAAGACCAATAAAACATAATAAAAACCACCTCTATCCTATGAAAGCGTTTTCAAGCTTTATGCACTTACATATTAATTGCATGGACATTGGTGGACATCTCTTCCAAGGGAAATTCTTTTCAGGTCCATTATTGAGACATTTGTTGTTTTAGGCTACATGTATTATGTGCAAGTTAAATTTAATTCACCTCTGAGGTTTTCTTACCATAGTGCTAATGCTGCATGGAGAAGGAATTACAAGGATTGTTTTGTTTTACGAGGCTTCCATGCTATTGCCTTCTCTCAGTGTTTCAAAATGTTTCTTTAATTTATTTGCAGTGTGGAACAACTGAAAGACATTGGCTGCAAGTGGGTTATCCTTGGGCATTCTGAGCGTAGACATGTAATTGGCGAAGACGATCAGGTGAAAGTTTAGTGGCTGCAAGGATTAGATCATAATTCCTTTTGCTGTTATATGACATCTGTAGAACTTGGCTGAAATTTTATTAACTACAGTTTATAGGAAAGAAGGCAGCTTATGCCTTAAGCCAGGGTCTTGGGGTAATTGCTTGTATTGGTGAACTGCTAGAAGAAAGAGAAGCAGGGAAAACTTTTGATGTTTGTTATCAGCAACTAAAGGCATTTGCAGGTTATTGCTGATGTTTCTTTCTCTTGGAATATGAGATGATAGGTTAAAATGTAAGAACCTAACACCAGTAGTGTCATTACCCCCGCAGATGCTGTGCCCAGCTGGGATAATGTAGTCATTGCATACGAGCCTGTTTGGGCTATTGGTACTGGTGTAGTGGCCACACCTGCGCAGGCTCAGGAAGTACATGTAGCTGTTCGTGACTGGCTTAAAAACAATGTCTCAGCAGAAGTCGCATCAAAAACACGTATTATATATGGAGGTACTTCACTTGCCGTGTTATGTTGAGAACATGATTTTGCCTCAGTGAATTCTCTTGCTTAGGTCATGGAAAATATGCATGAACTTGCAAATGAATAGGCAGCTATACTTGTGCTAATTAGAGGTAAAACAGGTAAAACACCTCCTCATGTTTTCTTTATAGACTAGGGTAAAACAGGGCAGTATGGTAACCTGCCAGCTATGCTTGTGCTAATTAGAGGTTAATTTCTGCCGATATGCAGTCATGAACCATTATCATAAAGTTATGTTGCTAACGGTTTGGTTTGCTAAGGTTTCCCATTTCTAAATTGCTCCTTTGCTTTGAAGTCTCCGGTTCTTCTGAACTTCTCGCAATATTCTGCTTCTGTAGATCTTGTTTGCTGCTGTTGCTCGATATGTGATTATAACTGAATTTCCATTTCAGGATCTGTAAATGGAGGAAATTGTGCTGAACTTGCAAAGCAAGAAGATATTGACGGCTTCCTTGTCGGTGGTGCATCCTTGAAGGTAATAAATATTACTGCAATTAACTTTTTGCTTCTAAATTTCAATGTCACAAATGAAAAATCTGTCTTGCTGTCATAAAAGTACCTAGAATACTCTCCATCCCAACGAACTGGGCAGGTATTAACAATGACTCTGCGATTTCCTGGAATGCAGGGCCCTGAGTTTGCTACCATTGTCAATTCTGTAACATCCAAGAAAGTTGCTGCTTAATTATATGAAATTGGCGTTGGAAACTATAACAAATAAAGGGCAAAAAGGAGCTGCTTCATTTTGAAGCTTACTGTAATCAAACTTTGAGTTAAGTCTTATTAAATGAAGTTTTGATTATTTATCCATTTCTTTACCATTCCTAAAAACAAACCCTTTTGCTTAGCATTTTTTGAAAAGGATTAAACATAAATCAGGTTGGTGCTATGATCTCAATGAAGCCCCCTTCACATATCTTATAGGCGACCTCTTTCTGCATGATTTCTGCGATTTGTTTTGGAAATTTGTGCAAGCAGGCCTAGGCACCTCCAGTCTGCCCAGATGCAAAATGCCGACCAGCATTTGCCTTCTGATGGTTTTTGACTCGGACAGGACTATAGCCATAAAGCATGTTCACAACACGTGTTAATTGACTAGGACATATGCCTGACTGAACATACGTGTACTGTAAAAAAGGACTGATGAAATGGCCACGGCATTCAACAACACGTGTATTTCTTGTACTAAATTTATTACTGCCCTTAATTAAAAGAAAAAATTGACAACTGAACTGTTGGGGCAAGCATTAATCCAGAGTCCAGTGTATGGTTAATCTGTGCAATAAGCTTCACTAATTCGTATTTTTGTAGTTTTAGCTTAGGTGATAAAAGGGTTTGTTCTGATTATCATGTTAACCCTAGTAAATAATGTGAAATGTATCTTTTATGACAAAAATTAGTTAAATAATCGACCAAAAAGAAAGATGAACATGAGCTTTTGTCAGTGTTTATCATATTGTGGAAGGCTGGACCCATCACGGAAGCATATATATCGAGAAAATCTACAGAAATAGAGTCAACATCAGCTTTTTCGCTACCTGAATTATCCGATGTACTTTTAGATCATAAAAGTAGCTGAGCATGCACCGGCTTGCTACTAAAGCCGTCAAGGAGAAGAGATTGCCATCCCCAGCAATACACAAACCAGAAATCAAGAAGACAAGCAATGGCAGGTCTCATGAAAGCTTTAGTTGCAATTCTTGTTTTATGTCTTGCTACCAGAGGTAAGAAGGCCATGCTGTCCTAATTTGTCCTCTCTTGCTCAAACACATGCCTATGCATATGGTATTTCTCTTTTTTTTTGGTTATCAATAATATTAAAAGAAAATCACACGGTTGGGCTATGTCATAAACATATGCCGCTGTTCTTAATTTGGTAAATCCATGTGCTGATTTCATGATGTTGTAAGCTTCTCTTTGCAAAGGGAGATGTGTTATCACTTGATACAAGGAAAAACGATTTGTTCTGGTCGAGCTTAAATAGAGGGTTTTTCTTTTGGTCTCGGTACCTTTTCTAAGGTAGATAAAGAACTTTTGAAACCATGAAGGTTAATCATGAACAAGGTCCCTCCTCGACAAAGGATGAAGGTGAATATGTGTCTGTGATCGGGTCCTAAGCATGTCAAGATCACTGATTAAATTGATTATTGATGAATATAATTTATATGAATTTTGGAAGGCTGGATTACGTGAAATTGATTTCCAAAGTTAGTGTAATGAAAATGCAGGATTATGTGATTGCTCATTGAACAACATCAACATTGGCACAGTTCGAAGTGGAAGAGAAATAAGTGGCAAGCCAGAATGGAATGTGACAGTGACAAACAACTGCAGATGTGCTCAAAGCCAGATAAAGCTGTCTTGCATGGGGTTTCAAACAGTGGAAAGTGTTGATCCATCAATCTTTGTGAAGAATGGTGATACTTGTCTACTTATCAATGGCAATTCCTTGGAGGCATCAGCTTCTGTCCATTTCTCCTATGCTTGGGATCCTCCTTTTCTCTTGTTGCCTTTTGCATCTGTTATCCATGGCTGTTAAAATAAGAGTATCTTGCATTTACACACATATAAAGATTATATGCAAAAGGGATTTCAATGCGGTTTATATATTGATGCTCCTGGTTAGGGTAATTGATGTTGCTCTTGTTATGTAGGACTTGTCATCTGCTACCTTTTAAAGTCGGGTAAATTACTTAAATCGTCTTATAGTTTTTATTTTTTTTATTTTTTATAACTTTGCAATTTAAATATTATACTCTACCACTTGAAATTTAGAAAACTGTTGCCCCTTTTATTTCCATCTCCCCCGCCCCCCCAAGTCACTAGACCCAAATCCTCTCAGATAAAGAAATCTTGGTGTTTTGGTGGCATAGATTAGGAAAAAAGAGATCGCCGTTTGGGAGGCTGTATTTGCTTTAAATAGTCTTTTCTTTTCAAAATACAGTCCTTAATAAAACCCAAATCCTTCCAAATCAATCAAGAAATCCAAATCCTTCCAAATCAATCAAGAAATCTTGGCATTTTAGCTACACACGAGGGAATAAAAAAATAATTTTCAACTATTTTAATTGAAAAACAAAGAACCGAAGAGATTTTGAAAAGTAATTTAATATTTTCTCATATCACCAATATATTTCCTTATACATGCTCAATTTTTTTTATATATATTTTGTCTAAAGATAAGAATTATTATCTAAAGATAAGGACATGAGAACTCGTATGATTAAATATTTTGCTAGTGGTTATTTATATGATAAGGAATGATATAGATACAAAAATAATAATATAACAATGCTTCGTAAGGTTATACTCTACTTATGATCTACATATGCTAGATCTAGGTACATTAAACTTAATTGTACTTGGATTGAACAATATATTTGTTGTTATAAGAGAGAACGGTTGTTGTCACAAGTCGTGAGTTTAAAGAAGATGAGGTTGGTTGACTATGAGTATGACACTAATTTTTTTGGAGGGAGGTTGTGATTTTTGATAGAAAAAAATGAGAGAGGAGAGAAGGTTAAAGTGAAAACAGAAAATAAATTGTGTGATAATGATTATCTTTTATATTTTAATTTATTATCTTTTCATTGATTTTCAAAACCTACTTTGACTAATGTTGTGTAATATTCAAAAAATTAGTTGTAAAATGAAGAAAATTAACCAAAATAATGCTCATAGTAATTTACCCTTTAGAATTATAACCTAATCCAAAAGAAGGCTAAGCATCTGGTAGGCCTGTACTAACTTTGAAATAACGACTAAATAATCTCTCTTTTTTTAAACATAGGCTTGTATAAATAGGAAAAAAAAGGTTAAAAATCCTTAGCCTTTTATTTTTTAATCTTCTTCTCTTCTCTCTCTCCAACATAGCCACCAAACCCAAAACCTCCCAAATCAAGAAGTCTTGGCATTTCAGCTACATATATTAGGAAAAAACAGATTGATTTTCAACTATCCTAAATGGAAAGCAAAGAACCAAAGTGATTTTGAAAAATAATTTAATATTCCTCATATCACTTATATCTTGTCTTATACATGTTCAATTCCCTCTACACTTGATCATAAGATGATGACTCTTATAATGGAATATTTTGCTGGTGGTTATTCATATGATAAGAAATGATATAAATGCATAAATAATAATGAAACAATGCTTCTTAAGGTCATGCTCTACTCATCATCTATATATGCTAGATCTGAGTGTATTGATCCCAATTATACTTGGGTTGAATAATAGATCTGTTGTTATAAGAGAAAATGGTTATTGTCACAGGTTATGGATTTGAAAAAAATGAGGTTGGTTGATTGTGAGTATGAGAATAATTTTTTTGGAGAGAGGTTGTGATTTTTGATAGAAAGAGGTGAGATAGGAGAGAAGGTTAATGTGAAAAGAGAGAATGAGTTGTGTGAAAATGATCATCTTTTATGCTTTAATTTATTGTCTTTTCATTGATTTTCAAAATCTGCCTTGACTATATTGTATAATATTAAAAAACTTGGTTATAAAGTGAAGAAAAATGATCAAAATAATGCTCGGAGTAATTTTCCCTTCAGAATTTTGACCTAATAAAAAAGTGTGAAAATGATCATCTTTTATGCTTTAATTTATTGTCTTTTCATTGATTTTCAAAATCTATCTTGACTATATTGTATAATATTAAAAAACTTGGTTATAAAGTGAAGAAAAATGATCAAAACAATGCTTGGAGTAATTTTCCCTTCAAGAATCAAGTTTCTGGTAGGCTCGTACTAATTTGAAATAATGACTAGTAACCTTTTTTTTCCAAAACACAGTCCTATTTGAAATAATGACTAGTAACCTTTTTTTTTTTTTCAAAACACAGTCCTGTATAAACAAGAAAAAAAAGTCAGAAAATCATAACCCCTATTATTTTTTTATCTTTCCCTCCTTCCTCTCTCTCCAACATAGCCACCAAAACCAAATCCTCCCACGTCAAGAAATCTTGGCATTTTGGCAACATATGTTAAGAAAAAAGAGATTGATTTTCAATTATCCTAAATGGAAAACAAAGAACCAAAGAAATTTTGAAAGACAATTTAATATTTTTCATATTACTTATATCTTTTCTTATACATGCTCAATTCCCTCTACACTTTGTCAAAAAACAAGAACTCTTATAATGAAATATTTCATTAGAGGTTATCCATCTGATGAGAAATGATATAGATATATAAATAATAATGAAAAAGTGTTTCTTAAGGTCATATTTTACTCATCATTTACATATGTCGAAGCTTAGTATATTGATTTCAATTGTACTTGAGTTGATCAATAAATCCTAAAAATCAGGCCTTAAGAGAAAATATACTCCAAACTAGTGTAAAGACAATAATTGTTACTTGTGGTAGTTTATACCTTTATCTCAATAATGTCATCTGACATATTGTTATCACATTTGAAATCTATGGCTATAAGGGATAAAATATTTTTTTGGGTGGTGGATAAATGTGTTATTATAAAAGAGAATGATTGTTGTTACATGTTGTGGGTTTGGAGAAGATGAATTTTGTTAACTATGAGCATAGAAGTAACTTTTTAGGAGGGTGGCTATGTTTTTTTATAGAGGTGAGAGAGAAGAAAAGGTTAGCACGAGATATAATGAGTCATGTGGTGATGGTTATATATATATATATATATATATATATATATAAGAGTATTATTATTTTTTCATTGATTTTTAAAATATGTTTTGATCAAGCTTGTAAAATTTAATATTTAACAACTTGATTGTAAATTGAAAAACTAACAAATTATAGAATGTTGAAGATAATTTATTCTTTAAAATTTTGACCTAACTTAGGTAAAGGTCAATTTGCTAAACAGACCCATAAACCCTTACTAACTTTGACATAAAAATGACCTTATAATGTTTTATCATTCAAAATCCAAAATAGTAAAAACAAGAGGTTATTTTATATAAAGTAGACGACATAATTAATGTTGCGGGGTGCGCGAGAGTTGTCTGGCAACGGCAGAGGCTCTCGTTGTGTCTCCTGATGAGGGGTGTTGTGTGTTGAAAAATTATGATTAATTTTTGGGAGTCGCCAACTAGTGTTATGGTTACTCGGAACCTATGGTCTGCGAGAGTCTGAGTAAGGGACTGGTTATGCAAGGGGAAGACACATCACCCCCAGTGCACCCTACCTAAGGTAAGTTGCATTGTTGTTTGATTATTTTTTTAAGTCAGGTTTCTATTTGTTGATCTTTTCTAAGACTCAGGGTAAATCTCTCTTCATAAGAGAGTCTTTACCTTATCAGATTTAATCGTTCAATTGGCCTATTAAAAATTTAATCATGTCCCTGGACTTAATTTTTCACTAAGAAAGCCCCAAATAAAATTAATTTGACCCATTTAAAGTATAATTAAGTCTTTGCACTTAATTAAATCCTTTAATTGAACCCAAATTAATTCTTAAACATAATTAAAATTTAATTTGGCCCATGATTAAATTAAATTGGCCTATTAAAAATTTAATTATGTCATTGAACTTAATTTTTATGCAAATTCATCCAATAATCATTTAATTTGACCTTAAATTTGTATTTTTTATCCGTTCTTGGGTATAATGGGGTACAATTAGGCCTTAAATTTCCTCCAAAAATTGCAGCTTGATTTTCCGACCTGCTTTTTCCACATTGTCAGCTATTATTTTATTATTTTATTTTATTTTGAAAAAAAATAAATTTTTGGGGAATAACCCAGAATTGGGTTATGACAATTAATATTTCAAAACAATTATTATCTTTGACTTGTCTCTAGATTTAGTTGTTCTTTTAAATTCAAGAATTTTTTAGTTTTTAAAAAATAAAGATTTGCTTTATTATTATTATTTATCGAAACAGATTAGTGTTAGAAAGAAAAGAGACTCGGGCTTAACAACACACACACTCTGAATAGAAAATTAATTTAGTTTTTAGCATTTGTTAAGAATGGAATTAGTGAAATCTTGATATAAACCAAAAATACACTATCAACGAGGTAAAAAGCTCGTTGTCGTTGCCATGACTTTTTTATGTTGTCAAGAGAAATAGCAATCAAATCTTCTTTTTGGTTGCATGTGATGGACTTGGTATCAAAACTTGAGTGTGCTTTAGGCTCCGTTTGTTTATAGGAAAATTATTTTTTATTGAAAAGTGAATTCCGGAAAAGTAAATTATTTTTTGATGTTTGGTAGTGTTATGAAAAATGAACTGGAAAACACTTTCCACTATTTAGTTATATTATGGAAAATAAATTGAAAAATAATTTATTAATATTTTATTTTTCTCAAGTTTATTAAAATAATGAGGAACAAATTTTACAAATTAAAAAGTTGAATAATAATGAAATTAAAAAAAATAATTTCATAAATTATCTCAAATAAAATAAATAATAATCAAAATAATAAAGATCAAATCTAAAAAAAAAAAGATGAAAAAATTAAAATAATAATAATTAACATTTCATAAAGTATTTCAAATAAAATAAATAACAATCAAAAGAATGAGGACCAAATTTGATAGAAAAAAAATTCAATAAAAAAATAATAGGAGAAAAGCAAATAAAAATTATAAAAATGGGGACCAAAGTCTTTTTCAGGAAAACACTTTCCTGAAAATCAAGCCAAATTTTCCTTTGACTAGAAAGTGTTTTCCGTTTACCAACTTTCTTAACAGCAAACAAACACAAGAAAGCTTGAATAATGACATTTCTAAATTTTTCACAACTTCTGGAAAGTGTTTCCCTCCCGAATTTTTCAGGAAAACACTTTCCTGAAAATCAAGCCAAATTTTCCTTTGACTAGAAAGTGTTTTCCGTTGACTGGAAAGTATTTTTTATTGACCAGAAAATGTTTTTTGTTAACCGAAAAATGTTTTTCATTGACCAACTTTTCTAATGGCAAACAAACACAGGAAAGTTTAAAAAGTGATTTTTCAAAAATTATTTTTCGAGAAACAAACATGGTCTTATCAGAAAAGAAGTTCTTTTAAGGATTCTACAATCAAAGCACATATTCCCTAACCAAATTTGAAATTAAAGCAAACAAAGCCCATCGCCTCCCTTGAATTGAAGAAACTCGCCATTGAATTGGTTGCTTGAATTGAGAAATAGGAGAGGACAAAAGAGATGGAGTGGTTCTATCCAAAGAGAAGGGGTCCCGAGTGGAAACAAGGGTGGACAGGCCAGACCGTGCCTCCATGTCTACTCGTCCCTTCCCGTTGCTAGCCATTTTTGGCATTGTCATTTCCCTATTATGGCTCTCCCATTACACAGGCTATAAGGCCCAGTTGCGCCACCCTGCAGTCAACCTCTAAATATTCCTTTTCTTGTTGCCTATCCTCCTGATTTTATTCATGGCTTCATATTCTACCAATTGGCTGCTCTATTATCGGCTCAGAGATTCGCCGCACGATTCAGCTCCACGTTCCACGAGCTCCTTCCCTTGGGGTATTGCCGTTTTCGTGGTGCTGCTTCTAATGTTGCTTTCTTATCAATCTTCATTTCATTCCAAGTGGTTTGGACCTCTTCGGGGGTCGCATTAATTTGTAAATAAATCAGCGAAAAAGAAAAGGAAAAACTCTGCAAATTGTTGATTAATTATAGTCTTAAAGATAGCTTAAAATCATGGAATCGTTTGAGTTTCTTTGTCAAGCAATACTATCTCAGTGTGATACAAGCACTGTAATCGTCATATGATGCTTTGAAAGAATGTTCTTCGTTTTTGCTCACTGTTGTGAGCAAAATGTTCAGTGTATCTATGAATTCCAGCCCTGCTCGATCTAAATCAAGAGACTGGCCAAGATTACTATGTTCCTTTGGTTTCAATGGGAGGCAGCCACTAAATCACCACCTCACCGGCATGTTCAACACCTCGTTCCTTTGCCATGCCCATGCCCGTTTTTGCTAAATTTGGTGTGGACAAACACGAGAAAACAGGTGGATGTCAGTGAGTCCATGATGATCTCCTGTAGCTATGAAGAATCACAGACAAACATCAGTATAGCCCATTTTGCTACACATTTGTTCCCATATGAAAGGGTTTTGAATCGAAGTCCTTTGATGCCCTAACATCCAGGGTTAAAACAGAAGAAGATGCTTCATGGCCATTCAATCAAAGCTGATAGATTGACAAGGGCTAAAAATATTGTCATCGCAAAGCTAGACCCCACAAGCATTCTTGATGGGCACGATGCTCGATAAGCATTGGACCACGAAGGCAGTGGTAGGTTTGGATGGTTGAATAATATATGGTTGTTTGTCACTAATAAAGAAATCTTCTTCTCCCACGGCAGCATGACCCAAGACAAAGCGATGGATGAAACTGACCTTCACATATGGCTAAACAGCGAGATAAGCAGGCAGTTTGCTCTCATTATCATTATAAAAGTAATTAAAGTGTTGCTTATAGCTGCAGCTATTAAGGTATAGACAGTGACATCTGCAATTGGGCTTTTGGTCCCTCATTCAATAACTTCTTTTCATGGAAAATTCTTGGATCCTCACAGAATTTGACTTTCAGAATTCAAAAGTACTCAGTGGACACTGAATTACCATGACCATGCCTACTTATAGCTTGGTAGGTTTGTTCTGTGGGGTGATTCTGCGGGGATGAGACAAATTTGACTGATGGCCGCTTAACTTGAAATTCAAGTTAGTTTCTTGAGCGATAACTTGTCTTCTGCAACAATTATTAATCTTTATCAATCAAGCAAAGTTAATAACCACAGACATTAAAATAAACCAATCACTTATCTTCAAGGTTTCCGTTATTACCGGGAAAATCTTGTACAAGAAAGGAAAAGTTGGGCCAAGACAAATAAAGCTCCGTGATTTAATTTTCTTATACTAGCTAAGATGATTTCCTGAATTTTCTCACCATCCAAACAGGCACATAGTTCTTTCATGAGGGTGAGTTTTAGTCTTCAGACCATATCAATCAATTCAAGATTAATTTTGAGCCAGATAAAGAGCATATACTAATTTGACATGGCCAGTATAAGCTGATGAAGAAAAAAACTTCATTAAGATCTCGCCCACCAAGGCAATATTTAACAAACATGAACACTCAAGCCCCAAACACATATACAATAATTTCATATTTCTCTACGTTCAAACATAAACTAAAGCCACAGAACAAAACTATTTGATCTTCAATCCATATCAATTAGTATAGGCGTAGCATCAAACAAGCCACCTATCAAGAAAGGTAGATTGAAACTGCACCAAAACAAGAAGCAACACAATGAAAGCAGCCACACCCCAGGGAGAGCTCCCTTCTGATGGCCGGTGATGTGTCCTCCGGCGCCTGTCCCACGGTGACATAACAAAGATCATGTCAGGATTTTCCATAGATGAAAGCCATCGAACTATGACTATTAGCACTAACGGTACAACCAAAAGAACCCAACCCATTTGTTCCTCAGTAGTCTCCACCATGTCTTCATAGCTAAAGAACCAAGACATGCCAAGAAATATTGATAGTACTGCCAAGATTAAGAGAACTGGATATGGTAGGGGATTTAGAGTGAAAGCATCAAAGATGGAGTCACTTCTTCTCCTATAGTAGTGCATTGCTGCTCTCGTTTTCAAGGCGTGGAGATGTCTGCAAAGTTATCGAAATCCAAGAGGTCGTCGACAATTCTAGGCCCGGTATATTTATAGCAGAGGAAATGTCTGTAGCGGGCTATTGAACTAAGTTGGTCTGGGAGTTTCTGGGCCGTTGAATTGATGGATTTGACAATTGGTTAAGTGATCAAGGGCTGCTAATCTTATACTTGTTTAATCAAACTTAATCTATTAAGCAAATCAAGTATATCCCCACCATCAATGAACTGTGTCCGCTTTAGAAAACCATCAAAGCATATTGCATGATGCTACCCTCTACCTGCCTATATATATATATAGTCTGTTCGCTACCCTCTACCTGCCTATATATATATATATATAGTCTGTTCCCTCCTCTTAACAGTGTTATATACTCTAACAATAGGCATGGTGATAAAATTCAGTCAGTGATGGTGGTGGACCAACCAATTTCCATGAAAGAAGATGCATATTTTGAGGCTCCAAGTTGGTCCACTAGTTGTCTGTTAGAATCCCACCCTGTCACAGAAATAAAGCTTAAGCGTTGAGACCACCATAAACTCGGGATTAATTAAACAAAGCACCTTCTTTTCAAAGTTCAAACCCTAATTCTGGTTGATCACCATGCATTCATATACACACTGTTTTCTTTGGGTTTCTCGAGAGTCGCTTTAACGATGCTTAGTGGATAGCGGTTGATATCTGGAACAAACACATCATCCATGTTTGAATCACTTTTACATAAGCTCTCTGGATTCTGATTGTTATTATTGTTTTCTTGACGAACCAGCTAAGCTGGAAGCAGGCTACCTTCACTTACAAGCACAAGGATTAAATATATTCACCAAATGCCACTGCAACCTCTGAAGTTGCCTACCGGGTTTTGTCAAGCTTTTAGGGACACGTTGCCATCAACCATTGTAGAATTCAAAGATTTCAGGGTAGGAAACTCAGAGAAAACTTCGATCGGCTAGAAGAAATAGGAAATTCCACTGGAAAATGCTCAAAGTTCAGGGACATCAGTTTGCCATCAACCATTTCTAAAAACAGCACTAAATACATCTAAGCAATCAAACAATGGATGGCCAGCCGAATGCTGTCATCCTCAAACTCTAAGGACGCTTACTCCAAAACTAACAGAAACCATTATCTTCCATTAAGGTAGAGTGAAACTTCTGACGCTTGTAACTAGACCTCAAAATGTTTTTGGTACCCACAAACATGAAACTAATAGCAAGGCTGAATGCAATAAAACTTGGAAGCAGGGAATGGCTGATACAAAAGCCAGCCAAATCGATGACTATACAACTACTGCTAAAAACGATGCATGTTTCTTCTTTCACCATAAGGCATGTAATCGACAGACAATTAATGGAAACAATAACACGGGTGCTTTTGTTCTCTAACATCTGCATGAAGAAGTGGATATTCACATAGAAAAAAAATACAACCAAGAGAAATATCATTGAAGAACTAACACTCAGGACTCACCACAACCCTGGACAAAATTGGAGTTTTCTTCAGATATACCTAAAGCTACAAAAATTTAGGAGCCAGTCAATAGCACTTGTGAGGGCTGAATGAAAAACTCATCCTTCACTGCAGCCCGTGACATTGGATCACATGAAGGCCCCAACACTACATATGGGCAACATCGTTTTTTATGGCCACTAGCACATGGTGTCTGGCTTCCAAAAATGATTACGATCCTAAACTGCTCTTTGGAACTGGAGGATAACATGTCACGGTAATTTTCTCACCATGATTTGAAGAGTTGCTGAATGAAATTTGATAACTGGGATATTTATTCACCCTAAGATTAATCAAATCAAACTTTTCCTTCATATTGGAAATTCAGTTTGTAATCATGCTGCAAAGTAGCCAATGTGTTTCTGCAAGGACCCTCTGCAAAAGCGGTGACACCCAAAGAAAAATAAGGTCACAATGCTCATGGAGCCATACTTTCAAAAAAAAAAAACAACTGATTAAAGCATGCAGCATGATGATATTTAGTTCAATTACCCCCAAATACAGAATGCAGATATTGAAGATCATCTGCTGAGCAGGAATCTATTAAAGCATACACACCAGGTCTCAGAGCTTCATCTATCTCCCTGCACATCAATTGAAAAGCAAATTGTTTTTGTTAGCACTGCATGAATCCAGTTTGAAATTTGCAAGGAGACTACATATGTTAGAACCATGTTCACCACTGTGCTTAAAAATAGCAAGGAACACGAAAATGAGATGTTGAGGACCACCTTCTGATGCCAGTTTTAAGCGGGCCATATCCTGAATAGACCCAAATGTAATTGGATAAAAACTTGAAACAATGCTGGCCGAAGACATCTTTTTGCTGCCTTAACTGTAAATAATAATAGTAAACAAATTAAAGCATGGTTAATAGAAGGCAAAATGTGTAACTTTTTAAAAAAAAAACATACCAATACTTGTACCACAATGCATAAACCAGAAACATGCTAGATGTGAACTGCCACAGACGTCTGATTAAACTATCAAGAGTAAACTTGCAATAGATACTTGTTCAGCTGGAAGTTCAGAAATGCCACTTGCTCAAGCTCAAGCATGGTAACCAAATTTTCTAGACATGTTGTGAAAAAATCCACAATAAGCGTGCTCTCAAGGGTTTTAATTCAAGACAAGATACAGGGATTCATGCACCAAAAACTTCACCATCCAAAAGCTTGTAATCAAACCCTATAGTCACTGCAGTTAAGCCTGTATTGTCTGTTTTAAGAACAGAGGTGATGTCAACGGGTCAACAAACAAACCATCGAGAAACTTTTTCAGATAAATTCCCATGTTATGATGTTTCCTTTGCTAATTGCTTATGTGAACAAAAAAAAACGCCATCTCATTTTCCCATCAGAAGATGAATAATAATAACAACTTCAACTTGAAACAACACAGGCTATATATTCATTGCACACTGCAAGCTTAAGATAACATCACATACCTCCTCATAAATCCTCCGGAAAGAACAAGCGCATTTTACCCCCTCATGAACTCCCAATGAAAAATAACCTTTTTTGACTGATAAATCAACATCCACCATCTCCAAACAATGAAGAAGAACACGCTCAGATTCTTGAAGTAAAGAAATGCACCTTTCTGACTCACTGGAATTACAAAATAATCGTCACGATTACATATAAAATTACTTTGAGATAAAACACAGATAAAACCATACCAAGAAGGATATAAATGACAGCTAGGAAACAGAGAATGATATATGAGGATTGCATTATCAAGTAGAGACAACTATAACATAGCATAGAGACACGTTCTGAAATGGCCAAAATGCCTAAGCACTGTATGCAATTGTTTTCGCATGTGCTTTTATGTTAACAGTTGTCTTTAGGCATCAGCAAAGAAGAAAACAGCGCATATCAAAGTAGGGTCAAAGTAGGGTCAAAGTAGGAAATGCCCATTCCACTGTCCTATTAAAGGACATGATAGATCTAAATCCTTCCCCAGAAAGCCAATGCTTTCAGTTTTACTTATTTGCTATGTGTGTATGATAAATCTGGCCTCATGATAACAAATCTAACTGCAACATTTATGAACATAGCAATCAGTTTCTTCAGGATTGAGCTAAACATCATGATAATGACCTTTTGTGATGCTTCAAAATCGTGTACAGTAACCGGCAGCATGCAGTATATAACTCCATGGAGAATTGTATATCTACAACAAGGGTATCCCTGCCTCCCAAAGTATTAGAATCTTGACTGCCCGAGTTAAACAAAGAATTAGATAAAGCTGGACCTTGAGAAATTCTCAGTTGATCAAAATCTTGAAAAAGTGCCGCTGGTATATGTAAAGACTGTGCTACATGCCAGGAATCCATTTGAAATAAAGCATGTTTTCCAGAAACTCTTGTTAGCACCTCAACACACATAAGAATGACTGCTCCTGGATCTGGTCCATTATACCTTTCACTATCCATCACTGTCCGATAGAAAATTAATGGACTTTGCACGTGCAGAATTATGTTGAACAAGGCAGCAACTAAACTCTGGATGTTCCTTTTAACAATATTTAAACGTTTACGACCTGTAAAGCAAGTAGATGGTTAGCACAACAATTTGCAATTACAAGAGAATAAATTTTGAACATCATTATGCACTGTACCAATCCCTGTTGGTGGATTGGTAGCTGCCTGTTTGTCGAGTAGGGAGAATCAGGTTTGACTTGCCCCATCCTCCTCCAAAAAGCAAAAAGTAAAAGAAATTACTACACATTGTACAGCAGTGAAATCAGAATTTTACCTGAAACATATTCCAGAACCAGATCCAAGCAATCAATGCCAGCTGCAACAGTTGAAGAAACCTTTCGACCATCTACATTCCCAGTAGTAATCTCATAAATTATTGGGCAGCCTTCGTACACTCCTACCAGTGCTCTCTCTATAGCCTGTATTGCAGACAAAAGATGCAACTCTGATGGTTTTCTTATCAAACTTCTGAATGACATCCTCAACCTTGCTTTAAATTCATCTAAATAGTATGGATGAGAAAGAGAAGCTGATCCTATATGACTGTGGAGTGTATTAGTGCTCAATTCTTTATCATGAGAAGTTAGAGTAGCTTCTTTCCCCTGTAAAGATATGCATTTTCCCAAAGCCTTCAAGTGTAACTCTAATAGCTTTGAAAACACGTTTCTAGTCGAGGTAGGATTAGTTATGGGAAAATGACTCCCTAGCTCTTGCAGATATTTCAGAACACCATCTAACCAAACAAAAGAGAATGGTTTTGGTACCTCTGTACCATCTGCTAACTTCAAGAGCAAGACTTGAGATATGCCAGTAAAACTTGGCACCAAACTAGACAACAAAGGAGTGCATTTAGTCTCCAAATTGAGCTTCACAATAGCTGAAGCCGCAATTAATAGCTGCCTGATTAATACTGCCGCTTTAGGATGATCACCTTCAAGAAAACTTTGCAACCACTCCTTATTTAACGGTAGGCATTCATATGAGTCAAGCTTACTTAGAATACCAGCAATAGAGGTAACGTTTTCTGACCATGAACAATGTTTATTCACAGTGACTTTCCAAGCGTCACCTGAAACCAGTGAACTGTCTCTATCATCAGACTTTACAAAATTTCCAGTAGCAGATAAATGATTAGGTTGGAGATCATCCTTGACAAACAGCATGTGGAAAGAAAAACAAATAAAATCAGCAAATGCGTTTATACAATGACTAATTTTTGAGATGACTTCACATTTCCATCTCAACAGCTTCACCTTGTAATCACCACCTGTTGCATTGGAGTGGTCCAATGCCGATGCTAGGCCCCACATGAACCCACTGAAGCAAGAGACCATTGAAGATAATTTGTTCCAGTCAACATCGATTTCATCACTTGATTTCTCATTGCAATGAGCATCTTTCAAAGAAATAATTAAGTCCTGTGCCTGTTCCTTCAAACTTTCAGCAATGAGGAGAATACTTTTACAGCTTTCAACGTCGTTCGAGGTATCCAAACATGGCGGAGACTCATTTACACTGCTCTGTTCCTGGGTAGCATCAGAATTGAGTTGCTCTGTATGAGGTTTTTCAGCAATTATGGAGACAGCAGAAGGACATTGATATTTGCTTAGTGTCAGGAACACATATGATGTGTGATCCATCAATGAAAAGATCATATCTGCAACTTCACAAGCTTTATCTTCTGACAGTGTCTCTTGAAGCCTGAACACCACAGACACTGATCTGGAAAGCCATAATACAGAATGTACATCCTCAAACAGAACAGGAATGAGTGCGGAATGAGTAGTTCTAACTTTCTCCTCACAATATGCCATAAGTAGACATTTCAGAGCCCTCCGGCAGGCCACCAGCAACCTTAAAAGCTCATACTGCTTATGTGAGAAGAATGAATCCCCACATTCTAACAGGTGGCCGATCACAAGCCTGAAATAAAGATAGTGCAGGTGAAACTTAAGCAGATGTTACATCATCCTAGGTATATGTATCACATGAACATCAAGTGAAAGCAAGACTAATAACAGCAAGCACGTATCATTATGTAATCGAGGACACAGAGGGGGTAATTGTGGGGTGGGGGGTGTTATTTTGCATACATGTAGACACCATGCTTAGATGAAACTTAAGCATACATCATATCACACTAGGTATATGTATCAACAGAAACTTCAAGTGAAGGACTAATAACTGCAAGCGGCCAAGCACATATAATTTCATATACTTTCAAGGATACAGAAAACTAGTGGTCGTCACAATTTTTACATGTACCATGTGGCAAGACTTTAACTGAGAACCTTTTTATTCATCTATTGTGCAGAACCTACATAAGCAATCTGCATTTGCTTGCTTAAAAGTAAACATAAAATGAAGACATGTTGACGCATAATGGATTTGAAATGATGAGAATTACAAATTTACCTTTCAAGGTTGAGTGTGCTAGTAGCATAAAGTGAGAATGATTTTGAATTGATATATCCTTTCGGCATCCAGCATAAGAGCCTAAGCAAACTTTGACAAGCTGCAAATTTCACAGCAGTTGATTCTCTGGAAATATCTGCAGTCATCTCAGACAATAAATGGGAGGCTGGTTTATCCCCTGTCAACTCATCACATGTAGAGGATTTTCTGCCTAAAACAAAATATGAGTTCTCAAGTGCACTTAAACCCTCTTTCCATTTAGGTGACATGTTCAGTTTGACGTCTCCAAATAGTGGTAGGATTGACTTTTCCAATAAATTGCAAAACCTGGATGCCAAATGCCTGCGAACAAACTAGGAAAAGAGGCAGTATCAACATTATGCAATACGACAATTTGCTTCAGAACTGAATATTTGAATTATGATATGTGCATGAAAGCAAGGGATGCGGGTGGGGGATTGCATGTAAATTGCGTCTTACTTTATGTTCATACAGAACAGAATCAGCCAGAAGTTCTGCTGAGATTTGATGCACAGAAATTTTATCGAGGAAATGGGCTTCATTTGTGTGATGCCTTTCCACCTGTGTACAGCCTTTTGCTATATATGGAAGAGAAGTAAGGATCACATGCTTGATGAACCTCTTCAACTTCTTCTTACTAGCATGAGGGGACCATATATCAATATTTCGGCAAATAATCCACCAAATTGCAGCAGGCAATGACTTCTCATTCACAGAGCTGACACCATAAACCCATTTATCACTTCCATGTAGAGCTTGGTTGCAGGTATCTACAAAAGTTGCAGCATTAGAAGAGTTGACTGGAAGTCGTTCATTATCTAATAAGGAGAGGTAACTCATCAGGAACTCGGTAAGATCAGTTGCCTCCTGCTTAAAAACAGCAATGCGTTTGCCACACTTTCTGCTCCTTTTGGAGTACAGTGATGAGCCAGCATCATCAAGCAGCTTAAATTGAATGATATTATCATTGCTTTGCTGCAGGTACTCAAAAGATTTTATCTGCCTGTTCAAATCAACAAGCCTCTGAAGAGCCATAGTAAGCAATACGTAAATCAGAGGACAACAATCTGCAACATCTCCCTGAAGATAAACATCAGAAACAGATTGTATAATGACAGGCAGAGAGGCTGATGGTTGGAGAATCCAAGAAAAATAACCCCCATCTGTCCAGTCAGTTTTATTCATCCAATCCCTTGCAGAATATGCTGTAAATGGATCCCCCATTACTGCTGACAACTTTCTTGATACATCTGGAGGCATAAGGCTGACTGCTTGCCTGTATAAACTTCGGCATGACATGTACATGCGAGAAAAGAACACAAGGACCCAGTGGGTGGACACTCCAAATTTCAGCATATTATGCGTGTTTCCAGCAAGCCTGACATCAGAAGTTCTTCCTGTCACAGAAGAGATGAACTCATTGACACTTTCTGACTCCGGTCCTACCAGAATACTCATGTATGGACGAATTACAGCCATCAAGTCTTTCATAGTTCGTCCAACAATGCTGCTGTTCCCAGCTGTTACATTCAATGAATCTAGCACCAGAGAATATACTTCACACAATCCTCTTCCAAAAAGTTCCACTTGCAGATCAAAACCATGCATGCTGGAATTTGCATTTGATACACCAAACACCTCCTCGTCTGCCAATGAGCAAGTAGTCTTCATCCATTCCATGGATTCTGATAGATCTGCAGTTAGGTGCTGAATGCACTCACTTGCCTGCCCTTCTGGTATGGAGTATATATCATTACGAATGGCTAGTTTAAATTCATGCGAGCAAAACAACATTTCCACTGCTTTTGCATATGATGCATGTGGTAAAGAAATTTTGCAGAATCCCAAACTATCAGAATTCAGCCCAGCATCATCACCTTTGTCATATACTATTATAAGCCTTGTTGCTTTGCAGATTGCAAAGATAGTACTTTTTACCTGCAGCAATTAAAAGAAAAAACATCAGGACATGAAAACCATCTGACATGAAACAAGACAGATAAAATTTCAAAAACTCAACGTGATGCCAAACTTTTTTGGCAGATTTAAAGCAAGCATGTGCTATTAGATAAGGAATGATTCGACTAACCTGTCGAAGTTCACTGTAAAGCTTGACCAGCTGACATCCAAGTCCTAGTATCTGAGATGTCATCGAGCATTCATTTGGTGCATCCTTAAATGAATAGCCAAAGGCCAAGCAGGAAAGCATGATAAACCATAATCTGGTTAAATCATTCTCAATAACTTCATACTCGATATCCAATAGGAGCCCAACAGCAGCAAGTAGCTCCCTTGCTAATAAAGTTAAGGTCTCTTGTGTTCGTGAATCTACATTATCTGTTGGCAAACAAAGTAAATTGGCCATGAATGGCAATATAGCACTGTAAACCTTCTTCAAGAAATTAAGGCAAGCCCCTTCAGATATATCCTCTGTTTTTATGTACAGTTTTTCACGCAAAAAGCAGGCTAGTAAATTATTAATAGATTTGATTGTGCAGTGAGCATCCAATAATATAGGCCGTACTTCCACTTTAGATTGAAGGTAGCCATTTATCTCAAGCAAAAGAGGGTCTGTAATCCGTACAAAGAAATTGAAAAGTGATTTTCTTTTTTCGGCACTCAACATACTGCTACCATATAACGTTTTAGATGGTTGACCAGACAAGTGTCTTGAACCTTCAGTTCTCTCCACTATCTTCATACCATCGGACAGAACTAAAGTTTCTTTTTGCTTTTTCACACGATCAACAAGCAAATAGAACAGTTCTCCTAAGCCACTCATAGCAGATTCCTTCTTGGCAAGAATAATTCTTTCAAGTTTATCAAAGAAATGTCTGTGGTAACTTTGAATGACAGTTTTTGACTCCTTCATTTCTCCATCATTGGATGCAGAATACTTCTCTGCAACACGTAAGCTCAGAAATCCATCAATGTGGGTTGGATGAAATAACCCTTGTGATAAAACCTCTTCAACAGCAACTAGCAAGTTTCTTGTCCAGCCAGGATTGCTTTCATCACTCTGAAGATGCAAGACACCCAACAAATGCAACAATGGCTCAAGGAGTTTATCCACAAAATCACGAAATCCATTTTTCCTTGTTGGATGAACCCTCAAGAACTTGGCAAATGGCTCAAGCACCAAGCAAGAGAACCGCAAAGCAAAAACACCCACATTGCCACCCTCGAGCTTCTCACCATACACTTTGCGAACAAATTCAAGAACCGGAAGAATAGACAAAATCCACAAGTCCAAATTCTCGTTCGACAAGCCACCATGAGATAAAAATACCAGAGAAACACAATCAAGCACAACACTGTACAATTCCAACCCGGAACCAGTAAAAAATAATTCTTTCAAACGAACTGATGGGACTGTCAGTACAGAAAGCACATTTCTCGCAACACACCCTATAGCCCTCAAAAGGTTCCTTGAAAAGCTCAAAGAAACCTGCAATCTCGAAGACTCCTCCAAGCAAAACTTGAAAATCACCCAGCACCTATAATCCAAACACGCCTCAATAACTCCCTCTCCATCAACTTCGATTTTCTTATCTGTAGAAATCAAAAGTGACTGTACCCAATCATTAAGAAAAGCTACAACTCGTGATACTTTCACCGTTTCACGATCTACATCGGCGTCTTTTCCTCCTCCTTTCTCTCTCGAGTTCACAAAATCATAAGCTAGTTCAACCTTCCTGCATTACAGTTCACTCAACAGTCAAGACAAATCCCTAAATAATTCCTTGAAACTCTAAAATTTAACAGCGAAAGAACAATTAGAGAGAGAGAGAGAGAGAAAGGGTCTAACTTTTGAAGATGAATTTCTCTGTTTTGAATCGATAAAATCAGCTGCAAATTCATCCATGGACTCGCAACTTCTTCAGTTTCTTGCTTCGAGTCCTTCTCTTTCGCTGAATCATGACCAATCCGGTTTATTTTGGAAGGTTTTTGCCGTTTCTCTTCATGTCTACTCAGCGTTCGCTTCTTCTTAACCTTTTTCGCTGATAAATCAGAAGAATCAACCATTATTGAGTTATTTTTTAGGGCCTGTGGAACTTAGGGTTTAGGGTTTTTGGAGTGCTCGCTATCGGGGTTTAATTTAAGGTGATGAAACGACGATGCACGCGATTTGAGATTTTTGTGACCGACGAATTGGACACGAACAGATGCATAAAACAAGACCAGAACGTTTCATGAATTTACGACTTTTGCCACCGCATCTCTCTTGTCTTATTCGTTACAAAAGGTTCGTGTATTGAAGCTATAACACCTTCCATTATTCCGGTTAATCAAATATTTTAGCATTTAGCTTCTCTTAAAAAATATATTAAGATTAAGACGGCGTTAATCTTGTATCATTTAGAAAATAATTACTGCAACCATGAAAAATTGATCACGTGTAGCTCAGTACACCTTGTATTAAAAATAAAAAATGAAGAATGAAGAATAAAATTAAAAAAAGTTAATTAAAAAAATAAAAAGCAAGTTAATTTGCTGAATTCATGACTTGGATCATGAAACCGAAATCATCTTATGAAAAAAATAAAAATAGAATATGACTTAACTTGAATTAACTTGATCATTTAGAAAATAATTACTGCAACCATGAAAAATTGATCACGTGTAGCTCAGTACACCTTGTATTAAAAATAAAAAATGAAGAATAAAATTATAAAAAGTTAATTAAAAAATAAAAAGCAATCCAAGTTAATTTACTGAATTCATGACTTGGATCATAAAACCGAAATAATCTTATGAAAAAATAAAAATAGGATATGACTTAACTCGGATTAACTTTTCAGGTTTATAATCCTAATCATAAAATAAAAATAACCTCATAAATAATAAATAAAAATAAATTATAAAACTCAATTCTCAATTAATCCTATCAAATCTTGTGTTAAATGATGAAATTTATATAAAACAATAATTAAAAAATAACAAAAAAAATAAGTCAAATCAATTGGGTTAAACCATTAAGCATTATTCATGAGTTATGAAACTGAGATAACCTCATAAAAAATAAGCTAAAATAAATCATAAAACCAAATTATCAATCAAACACAATATTAAATGATAAAATTGACAAAGAATAAGTCAGTAAAAAAAAATAGTCAACTAGAATAACCTATCAAACCTAAAACTTAGGTCATGAGATGAAAATAACTTAATAAAAAACAAATTCAATGTTGAAAAACATGAGATCAAGATAACATCTTAGAAATAAAAGAAAAAAAAAACAAGTTAATTTAACCGAGGTAAAATATCAAAAATTGCAACCCTGATCACAAAAGCAATGTATATTCATATAAAATAAATCAAAACATATTATAAAGTTCAATTCTCCATCAACTCAATATTAAATGATCAAATTGAAAAAAATCAATTAAAAAAATAACTCGAGTTAACTAGTTAAATATTATTCTCGGACCATGAAATTAGAATAACATAATAGAAAACAAATAAAACAAAGCATGAAGTTTAATTCTCAATGAACTCAATATTAAATGATGAAACTGAAAAAAAATTAAATAAGAGAAAAAAACCTAATCAACTAGGTTTCCCCACATGTTTTAGTTTAACTTGTAAAACCTGTGACTCAAATTATAGGATCAAGATAACCTCATGGAAAGAAAATTAAAATAAATCATGAAATTCAATTCTCATTTAGTCCAATATTAAAAGATATGATTATAAATTTTTTTAAAAAAACAATCAAAGTCAACCAACCAGACTTTTGACTCGAATTACAAAACAAAGATAACCTAATAGAAAGAAAAAAAATTGATTTGGTTTAACCCATATTAACATGTTAAATCTATGACTTTAGTTATAAGACTAAGATAATTCTATAAATAAAATAAAAAGAAATCATGGAACTCATTTCTTAACGGATTTTCTTGGATCTCATATTGAACAATGAAATTTATAAAAAAATATTAATTAAAAAATGACATATAAAATGACATGAATTAATATGGGCTAACCCATTAAACATTATTCATGGGTCATAAGAACGAGATAACTTTGTAAAAATTAAACTAAAATAAATCATGAAGTATAATTCTCAATCAACATGATATTAAATAATAAAATTTGAGAAAAAATCAATTAAAAAAAAACTGAGCCAACTTGATTAACCTGTCAAACCTGTAACCTGGATTATGAGACGGAGATAACCTAATAAAAAACAAATTCAATGCTGAAAGACATGAGACCGAGATAACCTTTTTTTAAAAAAAATAACTTAATTTAACTAGATTTAAATACCAAATTCCATGACCTTAATTATAAGACCAAGATATTCCTACAGAAAATAATTCAAAACAAATTGTAAATTTCAATTCTCAACCGACACAATATTGAATAATAAAACTAAAAAAATCAATAAAAAAAAATAAAAAACAACTCAGTCAACTTAAGTTAACCCGTTAAACATTTTTTCCTAGTTATGGGACTAAAATAACTAAATAGAAAGCAAATAACACAAATCATAGAGCCTAATTCCCAGTTAGCACAATATTAAATGATGAAATTAAAAAAAAACAAATAAAAAAAGTAGTCATCCGAATTAATATGTCAAACCTATTATATGTGTCAAACCTATTATATGTGTCATGAAAGTCAGATAAGCTAATAGAAAAAAAAATCTAATATTAAAGAATGAAAAAAAAAAACATTGATTAAAAAAAACAAACATTATTTTGAAGAGCTAAATATGTAGGGAAAGTATTCTTTATTGTTATAGTACTTATCCGCATGTTTTAGAGTACTGTTAATAATTAATTTTACAATCATAAAAAAATGATGATGTGTGACTTAGAGTTTGTTTGATATTATGATAACAATTATTTTTTAAAATGTTTTTCTTTTGAAAATATATAGAAATAATATTTTATCTTTATTTTTATTTTTATTTTTAAAAATTTATTTTTCACATCAAGACAATCTATTTTTAAAAATTTATTTTTCACATCAAGGCAATCTAAAAACACTAAAAAAATGATTTGAAGCAAAGAAAAATACTAAAAAAATAATTTGAAACAAAGAAAAAAAAATTCAATTTTTTTCAAAAATATTTTTAAAATACAAAAATAGATAAATTCTATATACACGTCGTATTAAAAAATCAAAACTCACAAATAAGTATATTCTTTTATATTCTTTTGAAGAGCTAAACAAATGTAATTCATGATCAATTTGGATTGCTATGATTTAAATAAAAGTTTATTGATGTGAAGAGCATTTAAGTAAGTGTAGTTACCTGCCAACATATATGGAATTGTGTGAATTTAAATAGTGGATTGAATTAACTCTATTTTGAACTCTTTTTAAAAGTGTTGATTTGAATTATATATAGACTTCAATTTATCTAAAAAAAAAGTGATATCACAATATTAATTTTTTGTATATATGACATCAATCTTTATTGAGATATTTATGTTTTTTTGTTTTATTTTTGGGTTTTTGATTAAATGTTTTTTTTCTTTTTAGTTTTGCTCATCTAATTATTAAGAGATGACATTTTGTTCTGCTATTGTAATATGTGTGGATGATGGTTTTTTTTTCAATAAATACTTAATAAATAGTTAGCATTACAGAGATATATTTAAATATTTTCTAAAAGGCATGTGTTTTATATCAATTTAAATAAAAAGATACTTACAACAAATATAGATAGTCAAAAAAATCAATGGTGCCTTAATGATTCACTATAGAGATAGACACATTGTATTGTCTATTGCTACATGTTTCTACCCTCCATAATGACTACCAAAAAAATATAAATTGAAAAGTAAAATAGTTATTTTAACAGGATTCAATTGACATTAACAAATTGAATAAAAGTAAATCAATCTTTTTTTGTTTTTAGATTAGTAAAAAGATTTAATTACCATTAAAAGGAAAAAAAGGTTGGTTGAAAGGGTTTTTTTTTTGGTATTTACCATTAAAAGGAAAAAAAGGTTGGTTGAGAGGGTTTTTTTTTGGTATTTTTATTTTTTTTCAAAACAATAAAATAATTTAATTATCCTTAAAACAAAAACAATATTAAGCTTTTGCATATGGGCTTTCGTTATCTTTTTTTTTCAAATAGTAAAATGGTGAATTACCTTTCAGATTTAAAAACCAAGGTTGTTATCTTAAAAGTATTTTTATTTTTTTCTGCACAATTCCTTTTGTTATTTTCAGTTTCAATTATGAACAATTTGGTGACTTGACAAACATTAATATTATTTTAAAAACATAGGCATGTTTTGCATGTACAAGCATGTGGATGTTATCCAAACCTTTCGAGTAGCCCGTGCAACGACAATCCACATCTAAGAACAACCAACTATTGTGTCACCCATTACATCCAGTGACGGAAAATTGATGAAACAACATGTGTATTGATATACATGATGATTAGATGGTGATGGACCCCCCCCTCACCCCAACTCTCTCTGATTAGATGGTGGTGGACTCCCCCTCCCCCCCCACCCTTTTTTTTT